TGATAGTAAGGCGATGACGGCAAAGGGGGCACTCTGAAACCACAGGTTTACAAGGTTGGAAAAGATCCGAGAAGCAGGGTAAGGTTTCAGCCTCCTTTCTCTACATCTCCTCATCGGCCTCTTTGTCCCAGTAAATATACCCCCCGATGCTGATTTGACGTTATATTCCACCTTTACATAGATCCTTTTGAAGTGAGTGTTTGTGCTGGACGACACTTTAAGCCATGTGACAAAGGGCGATTGCTGGGGACGCCTCAGGGCTGACAAGCTCCATTAACGTAGCCTGTAAATGTATGTCGAATCAGGGGAAGCCCAGCGCTGTGTGTGCGAGGTCATGTGCTCCGAGTGCTACACTCTTTGTGTGTGCGAGCTCATGAGCCAATCTGTGACCAGCTTCAGGGGTGACTCGGTGCCTTGCCCTCCATGTTGGCACAAGTTTAGCTCCTCTGCACACCCCGAGTGGATTCTCAGGAGCTGCCACTTGAGTTTGCAGTAATTTAATGATTCACACTTTAGCATAACAGAAAGTAAACTTCCATCTGGAGAAAAACAAACTGATGATTTAGTTTATTAGAAAAGCTTGTTCATTTGGATGTTGTTGAATAAAGGTTTGGATGAGTCATTAAAAAAGGAACTCTTCGATGGATGAAGTCAAGACAAGTTGGAATGATTCAATCAGGACTTCTCTGAGATATGACAAGAGTTTAAACTCGCTGGTCGACAAACTGCAGGTGACCAAGCCGGTTGGTGACGGCAGAGCAGAATTGTGTAATTGGTGTGTTTTTTGTGCTGCTGGTGGACGTGGTGGTGTTGGAGGGTTACAGCAATGCTAACCAAGCAGTTTATTTAAAACATACAGAGTACAACACGTAGCCTGAAGAGGGTTTTCCTAAACGTTGTAATCCAGCCGTGAGAGTATCAATGAAAGTTAGTGTTAGGATGGAGATAATGTGTAACATGTTGCTGTCTGCACATTTAGTGGTTAAAGAAAAAAAAAAAGAAATCCCAGTTAATATTTTTTGCAAATATGTTTTCGTTTCACCCCATTCTTCTTTAAGAACAACTTTCTGTTGTTGAAGAAATAGGCTTTATCGCCTGTTTGCTGTTGAGCTCGGTCGAGGACCCTCGCAGCGCTCCTAACCTTTGACAACTTTCTGTCGTTCTTGGTGTCTTCTAAAAGCGTCTCATATGTCACTAGTGTGTTTCAAAGGCTACACGGTGACTTCAAGTTTGTGGTAAGTAACAAACGAGGATGTGGGAAATCATTTGGAGGGTCTTCTTTTGACCTTAATGAGTGATGTTCTCCTGTCGAGGGTCCACAAACTAACAACAACAACATCAACAACAGACCATGCAGACTATCCCCATGGGTACATTTACATCGGCTGTAACAGCCACAGTTGCCCCTCTCATCCCGCCAGGTGCCCTTACAGTTCCCTCTGGAGGAAGGGGTTGCAGGTTTTTTTTTTTTTTTTTTTTCAGGGAGGAGGGGGTTGGGGGGGGGTTAGAATGCCCCTGGCTGTGCCCACATCTACTCAACCTCCCCCCACCCCCGCCCAAGCCCTCTGCAGAGCCTCTTTATATGTCTCCACCCCCCCTCCCCCTTCCCTCCCCAGCTCCCCCGTGGGGCAGGTGACAGCCCTCCACTGTGAAGGGACGAGGGAGCCATGACGGATTCCACAGATGGAGCGTGGAAATCGCCAGCAAAGACCTCGGCTCTGTGGAGCAACAAAGAGCCCGAGAGTCACAGAGAGAAATATGGGTGGAAAACAGAGAGCGAGAGAGAGAGGGAGAGAGAGAGCAGGGGAGACAAAGAGAGGGTGAGAACGAGGGAGAGAGAGAAGACGGAGGAGAAGGTGGTGCTTGTGTAAGGAGGGTGGCGTGACGAAGGGCTACACGATGTTTGTTGGGACGAATCATGAGTTTGCTGTTGTTTGAAGAGAAGAATGTGCAAGTCTGAAGTTTTCCCCTTAAAACTTTTTCATGCATATGCTGCTCGTTTTAAATCATCTGTAAATGCAACTTAACATCTAGGGACAAAGAGTCGAACGGACGAACAACTGCGAGCGCTTGAGCCCTCTGTAAAGGATCTGATTGTATCGAGACCAGACTCCCGAGACTCCGGAGGTGCCACTCTGTCGCTTCTTTTGAAAAGTGCTCCGGACCCCGGTAGCAGTCATAACCGATAGGTAATTCCAAAGTGATTAAGGATTTTCCCGTCCTCCTCGACTTTCCCAGGGCCCAAATCCCTGTGAAATGCCGAGGAACGTGCATGCTGCTAAAGTCTGAGAGACGAAGGTGGGGGGGGGGGAGCGAAAAAAGCATTCCTAGCAGCCCTCCTCCATGCAGGAACAGGAGGGGGAGGCTACAAAAGGCCTCATCTCTTGTTTTTCAGCCATCCTGCCCCAAACTCCAAAGCCTCCACAACTCCACACCCCAAATTCTTTCCACCCTGGCGGATGCACGAGGCCTGTAACCCCACTGGTCAAATAAAATGTTTTAAATATATCATAACAGTTTCAGGGAAGTCAAGTTTGCATGCAAAGGGGCCATTTTGGATTTTACTTATTATTCTCTGCATCTATTTGAGAACATGTACACCCCTGTATCGCTTTGGCTCCTTTTTAAAAAATGCTGCTACGCGTGCAGAATCGCAATATATGCAGAAGAGGCTTAGGGCAATGTCTCCATTTCTCTTACTCCCCCTTTGAAAATATTTTACTTATTGCCTCCCTCATGCTTGAATGTTTCTTTACCAATTTGCTGCTAATGCATGTTAAGTTGACTCCCACTGCTATTGGTGTTTCTGAGGGGAAAATCGCCGAAGGGGCCGAGAGGATCAGTTTCACATGAGGGGCCCCGAGCTATTTGGATTCTCTTGTATTTTATTGTTGCTTCTGAGGGGGAACTAATACAGTGTTGCACACAAAACTTCCCCTACGCTGAGGGGGAATTAATTAAGTGTGACACAAAAAGTGGGCGCCTTGACCGTGGTGAACCTTAGAAGAGAGCCAATGGAGTGTTTGAAGCGGTGAGTTAAGAAACCAAGCTGCTGCTCCACTGAGCGTCGTCACAAAAGTTTTAATACCGAGATGAAGAGAAGTGACACAAAAGCTGTCAGGACTCGTTAGATCTGCAGCTCAGCCACGATGAATATCACAAACTGATTGTGATTCATCGCTACATTTTAAGGGTGAATGGCGATTTATCATATGTTTATTTGGATGCTTTAGATTTCATTATTTCAATTTTAAAAATAAAAATTGTTAGGCTTTTATTTTGAATGTTTGTACTGTCTTAAGCTGGGAGTACTTTACTTGCTGTGTGCTTTTATTTTGAAATAAAGGAAGACCCTTCTGGTAGATGGAAGGTTAGTACTTCCATAAACTTGATATGCTCTCTGAGGACTCAGGCGTACCCGACGAGTCTCACACGGAGAACATTACTGACTTTTGGCTTATTTTATTTTTGGGCTTTTTTATGCCTGTTTTTAGTGATAGGAAAGTGGATGGAGTTGGAAATCGGGAAGAGAGAGTGCAGAATGGCATGCAGGAAGGGAGCCACAGGTCGGATTTGAACCTGCTTGGAGGACTATGGCCTCCATACAGTACATGGGGTTCGCACACTAACCACTAAGCTACCGGCACTCCAACTTTGTGGTTTATTTTGAGTCATTTTAGTCAGATACAGACATAGCACTTCAGGATTATACCGTACTGAGACACACCTCTTCCAAGCGTGCCAGGGCCGAGGAAGTGTACCGAGCTCGAGCACAGATCGAAGCGCTCACACTAGTCAAACAACCTGGACTTTTGGGGGTGAAGCATGCTTAGGCATGGTACGGATTGCCTCCTGTGAGTGTGACCTTGAGAGTGACTCAATATGACATCTGATCATCTGAATATGAACGATGTTGCTGCTGCAGAAATCAGAGAGGAAACAATCAAGACGGCAACAGAGTCAGAATTCTTTGGATTCAGCAGACTGAACGGTTTGTCCCTCATCCAGGCAACAGCTCATGGCTACTCAAACACACATACACACACACAATGATGCGCACGCACGCACGCACGCACGCACGCACGCACGCACGCACACACGCACACACGCACACACACACGCACACACACACACACACACACACACACACTCAAAGAATGGCCCCTGGATCCAAATTAGCCTTTTGTGTGGCTTTTAGTGCACCAGTCCCCCTGTGGAGCCACGGGAATCCAGTGCAGTGGGATTACTCCTGAGGCTCAGAATATTTGCTCTGAATGGAGGTCTGTTTGTCCACATCGCCGTGAGGAAGAGAGATGCCTGATGGTGCTCCAGCATGTGTATGTGTGCGTTAAGAAAAAAACACAATCTTTAAAGGCTCAAAAATGATCGGAAGCATCGTAAGAAAATCTGTAAAATCTACTAGTTAGTAAAAAGTAATAAACATGAAGTGTGTCTAAAGCAGCAGCAGGTGTGTGTTCGTATATCTTCTCTTCAACAGGGGTTCAAAGTTCAGCTTAAAGTCTATATCTGTGGTCTGTATTTCAAAGTGGGGGTCCTGACCTTCAGGAGAGAGAGAGAGAGAGAGAGAGAGAGAGAGAGTGGGGAGCCACAGGTTGGACTTGAACCCGGGCCACCGCTTGAAGGACTGCAGCCTCCGTAAATGGGGTGCGTCCTTACTGCTAGTCCATCAGCGCCTCTTTCAAAGATATTATTTTTTGGGTTATTTTTGCCTTTATTGGAGAGGAAAGCTGAAGAGAGACAGGAAACGTTGGGTGGAGAGAGAAGGGGGTAATGACATGCAGCAAAAGGCCGAGGTCAGATTCGAACCCACGGTCCTTGCAATGAGGAATATAATCTCTGCACATGGGGCGCAAAACAATACCGCAAGGCCAACAGCACCACCGCAGCTTTTGACCAAAATCTGCAGCTATAGCGAAAGCGAGAGCACTGAGATATGTTGGCAATTTTTCTTATATTTTCCTCCTCTTGTGTCCGAACAGCAAGTCACTCAGACGAGGGATCGGACGTGGAGTCAGAGCCCGACCTGCCGCTTAAGAGGAAGCAGCGTCGCAGTCGCACCACCTTCACAGCGGAGCAGCTGGAGGAGCTGGAGCGGGCCTTCGAGAGGACCCACTACCCCGATATCTACACTCGGGAGGAGCTCGCACAGAGGGCCAAACTCACAGAGGCCAGGGTTCAGGTAACCATCGTCAGTGGACGGCATATGATGGATTGTGAAAGGGGTTGTAAATCTGACCTCAGCACACAAATACAAACTGGAACATGTCTTTAGACGCTGCTTTAGGGCTGCATGCTTACTGCAATATGAGCAGAGTGCAATAATAAACACATTGCAAAAGTCTGAATTCATTACAATAAATCATCAATATTATTTTATATGATTTCTCACTCGGCATGCAGACATTGAACCCATTAGGATAGTAATCAGAGCTAATTCAGTGGTGAAGAAATACTTTTTTAATTTTATTCTGGATTCAGTTGGAAACATGCTGCAAACAGGAACTGTGTTAAAAATGTACAAACAGCAGATAGGTATAAAAACTCTGAGTTAAAAGCTAACATGCATTCTTCAGTTTAATTTAATTTGACATATTTTGTTTATTTACACTCTTATTGAGAAACATACTGGGCCCGAAACACCTGCACAAACAGGATCAGTGGACCTGCATGTAGAGTGAGGCTGCTACACAGGGAGGGTGCTAGAGCTAGTGAGGGTTCGATGCCTTGCCCAAGAGCACCTCTGCAGTACTCAGGAAGTGACCTGGCACATCTGCAGATACTAGACCAACTTCCTTACTTTAGTCTGCACCGGGACTTGAACCACGTCCCTACAGACTGAACTAAACTGTCCCCAGTACTCTCACATACTGTGCTTACACTTTCACTTACCCCTCCAACCCCATCCCTCACACCGTCACTTTAAACATTTAGAGGCACCTGTTGCTCTCTGCTGGCTTCACACACACACACACACACACACACACACACACACACACACACACACACACACACACACACACACACACACACACACACACACACACACACACACACACACACACACACACACACACACTCTCACTATCTCTCCAGAGGCCCAATCTGTGCTTTCCATGTTTCTGTTCCCTGAGTCCAGTAAATCCTCCTCCACCAGCACCATATGGTTAGTGTAAGCAGACCCAGCATGAGCCCACGTCCACATGGACACATTGTGTAACTCACACACTCGGTGCAACCAGCCGTCACGCACACACGCACGCACGCACGCACGCACGCACGCACGCACGCACGCACGCACGCACGCACGCACGCACGCACACACACACACACACACACACACACACACACACTCCTCTTCAGCTTCACACTCTGACAAAGCTGTGACAGAAGTGTTGTTTGGTATTTTTGAAAGTGTGTGAACTGCTTAAAAAACAACAACTATGATTTACAATTGTTGCTTTAATCTAATTTAATTTGTATTTATTTTGTATTTCTTAAAAATGTCTGCTTATAAATGTCTCGTTGTCCTTCCAGGTTTGGTTCAGCAACAGGCGGGCGAGGTGGAGGAAGCAAGCAGGAGCCAATCAACTGATGGCATTTAATCACCTAATCCCGGGAGGTTTCCCACCGTCAGCCATGCCCGGCATCCCCCCGTACCAGCTCTCTGACAGCACCTACCCCCCCTCATCTATAGCACAAGGTGAGACACAGCATGCAGACAGCAGGAAACGATATTCAAAATGTTACTCAGCTTTGCTTAGGGGACAGAAGATCCTTCCTTTGCATCATGGAGAAGTAAAGAGAAGTTAGCGACGTGGTCATTTCCAGATCTGGAGACTGAAACAGGAAACAAAATTAAACATGTTGTCAGGGTTTGCAGACTCATGTCATTAAATTAAAAGCTTAATAATGTAATGAACACATCATTACAGGCGGAGTGTCTCTCATGGTGTTTACAGGGATTATGTGTACGAGAGAAAAGACGACTGTGAGTTTTCGATAAAATGCGGTGGCTGGGAAGTGCAAACCAAAATTAAAAAGTGTGAGACACTTTTACAAAACTGGAGACAAATTTACATTTTAATAATTTATAAAACAGCAAAAAGAGGAGCATACAGTAATACAGTTTTGAAGGGGCATGACTACAACACGACGAAAGAGAGACAGAAAAGTCAAAACGCTAAATGCCCTTCAAAGAGTCTTTTATCTGGGGAGAGCAGCAGCGTACAGAACAACAGCAGTACGTTTCAGCACAAGGCCTTCATCAGCGCTCTGACATTTAGTGTGCTGACTTTTCTGTCTGTCTTTAATATTTTATAAAACAAAATTACAAAAGCAAAACTTTGAAACACATTTACAAGAAACACTCTGACGAGCGCTAAGACAAATTTACAATCGGCTGAACAAATCCCCAACTAATTTACAAATGACAGAATCTTACCGGAAAAGGGAATGTACCGAATGCTGGAAGTGACTGAGCGAGGGGTCAAGTAGTTGGTTGTTGTTTTTTTTAAAGATTTATTTTGGGGCGTTTTGTCGATTCTGTTTGTAAATTTGCTTGGGGTTTCAGGTAGCAAGTGTTCAGCCGATTGTAAATTTGTCTCAGCGCTCGTCAGAGTGTTTCTCATCTTGTAAACTCATTTTCTAAAATGTAAATTTGTCTCAGGATTTGCAAAAGTGTTTCACACTTGATTTGGGTTTGCACTTCCCAGCCACTGTACAGGAGTGTCCGACTGTGTGCAGAGCTGAAGGTCCCAGCCTGCATTAAAGTCTCCTGATTGATATAACCAAGCCAAACCCAGACGTAGACCCTTAATTAAGTTAGAAAGAAAATACCTCTGCACTGCATGCAGCATCACCAATCTGCAAATCTGAAGCCTGACTGAGTGACGTCGATATTCAGGCCATTTGTGATCACACATAGAGAACGAGTCGGACATGAAGACGCTGAGCAAAGAGAATTATTGAACTCGTTTCATCAAGTGTGTTTCTGTTTTACAATGACAATTTAAAAAAATGTTTGTGAGGGGAAAATGTAGTTGTATTTATTTGAGATGATCTGAAAAAAAGGCCCAACGAGGACGCAGACGAGTCCAAATATAAACCCTGGAACATTAAACCTAAATATTAGTTATTCAACGTCTGCAGGAACTTCTTTAAACTTCTTGCACTAACTATTTGACGACATGATTGCAACCTTTTAATTTGAATAAATTCAGCCCGAAGAAAGATGGAATAAAAAATGTGGCAACAATAGTTAGAAAAATTATTTTATGGTTGCACAAATGCGTCACCATGAGGGTTCTGCTCATGTGGAATTATTTGATATTATTTGACCCCTCATCATCACCTACAAAACCCTCCATAAAACTATTAATACCGCATGCTTTTATCTCCTTCAGGAGACTAAACTCCTTCTCAGGGAAGATGTGAAAGAATATTTACCTGTGTACAAAGTCAGGAAAGCCATAAACAAATTAAATGAGTCATTTGATCTTTCTTTGTAAATCAGCATGCAGACCTGCGTCCCGCCCTGCACACATTCTGTGTTTCCTCTACAGTTGCTGAAGTTCATCTTCATGTTTTTTATGTCGTGTTGCATTTTCTCCTTATTCTTGATCTCCAACATTAAATGCATCACGGCCTCAAATGAAGTTTCCTTAATTTGTCCAAACATGCAGCAGCATAGTAAAAGTGACCGGGCCGTAAATTAGGGCGATTTTATATTTGAAATTTTACGGTTTATCAATGTGGCAGCAGTTTTGCTCGACTACAGCAGGACGTTTTTGTTTTTAATTTTTGCTACAGTCCTGACAATTCTTTTCTCTGTGATGCTTTCGGTAGTGTCGGAGCCCCCCAGCACGGTGCATCGACCCCAGCCCCTCCCTCCCTCCTCGGGCCACCAAGCCTCAGGCGGAGGAGGTCAGGGAGAAGGCGGCTCCGGATACTGCCTCGCCTCCGGACGCCACTCCTTCTCAGGCTACTCGGACGGCTTCGTGAGCCCCGGAGGACCGGCCAATCCCATGAACCCGGCCATCGGGAACGGACTCTCTCCACAGGTGTGTGAATACTGCCAAGACAAAAACATGTGTGTTTGAGCTGCGTGAAGCCGGACAACAATCAGGGGGAAACTCAAAGATACGTCTTTTAATTTTTTAAACAAATCAGGACGTGTCATAAGAAAACCTCACACTTATTTCTAACAGCTTTAAAATTTAGATTTTTGTCCCTGAATGTTCTGAATGCGTCAACAAACCAAGTAAAAACTGGTTTCAGATCAAAAACAAAAAGTGAACTCGTCTGAAAGTTCAGTTCAAAAGGAACAAACGTGTGTTTGACAGCGTTTACACCTCGAGAGTCGGATAGTTCCACTAGTATCCGGATCATTTCACAGCGCAGCATGTTTTCAGCCTCATCTGCGTGACCATTCTGCTTGACCTCCCACACCTCCGTCTTCAAGGTCAAACCCCCGACACGTTTTCTGCATTAACGATCTCTTCAGATGTTTTAGGTTCCTCACCGACTCCTTGTCTTGGCATATTCACTTTTCTTTTTACGCCTTTATGTAAGAAGAATTAATTTCAAGATTAGAAACAGAGCATGAGTAACCACGTCCACCTCGCTCGCCGCCATAACCGGAAGTCGTAGAATGAGATTCTGACTTGATATGAAGAGATGCACACGGTCTGTCCTGTCAGACACACGGCTTTACACAAATATGTCAGGAGCTTCAAAAAAGTCACACTCTCCTGTAGAATAATATTTCACAGAGGTGAAAACATACAAGAGTCATAAAGCGTCTCACACGGCTCTGCTGGAGGAGGAAAGCGAGATGACCCCAGGAGGACGACGGAGCGAGTGACAGATGAGAAGTGAAAAGACAATTACAGCCAATTATCCAGGCATGAAGTCTGGAGGTCTGTGCACCAAACAGAGGTTATACGACAGGAGAAAGAGACCCTAACAGGCAGAAAATGAGATTTCAGCCTGGTGCGCTCCGCCTCCTCGGAGAGAGCGCCGTGGCCGTGCGAAGACGGGGATACACGTTCCCAATGCACGTAGCTCAGTGTAATTACAGAGAAACGCACGCATATAAAGTGTAGATAATTGATCAGCTCCATGACGTTTCCAGGATCAGTTAAGGATTTTGCAACATATTTTGCACAAGTATTACACGACATGGTTGAGCGGCATGGCCGAGTGAACTTTTCAACCTTCTGTTTAGATTGGAAGATTGAATTCTGTATTTGTTTTATCTGTTGCGTTCCTTAAAGCAGCAGTACGAGCAGTTTCTATCACTGCTTCTTAGCAGTGTTGTTGTTTGTGCTTGGAGAGTCCCCTCCATCTGAGAGTGTGCATGTCCTTTTACCTGAGCATGCTGAATAAGCTTCATGCATGCTTCCAAACATACAGAGACACCGCTGCATGCGCAAACACATGAATAAAAACACAGGAGGAGCTCACAGGCGTGCACACACACACTCCACACTTTACTCCAGCCTAGAGGAACATTTCCTCGGGATTGCATTCTTCAAAAGTTTGCCTTGCCAGTCGGACGTTTGAAAGCAACGTTTTCTAATTTATTTGTATATATTTCATAGAGCGGGATAAGAATGTCCTGTCTCAGATGTTACCCCCCCCCCCCCAAAAAAAAAAAATCCAGACATTCTTCCCCGCTAACTCCTGGGCGCTTCTATTGAGGCCTCTGGCGACGGCAGCGGTCCGATATGAAGGGCAGGCTGACCCGCCATCGGGCGTCTCGTGGAGCTCAGAGGAGAGAGAGAGAGGGATGATGGGTTGGGATGTGGTTAAAAATATATCGGGAAAAGCACCAAACTGAAGTTTGTCATTTTAAGAGCATGTATCCCTGCTCTGCGGCTCGTTGACGGCATTAGTACTTGCTTTCTGTTCCAGCCAAACCCGTCTGAACGCAGGTTAATTTTTTAGGAAAATGTTACCTGGCATGAGAGGAAACACGACTCCCCTCTCCCAAATCAACATGGACTCCTCCGTTCACCTCCCCTACTTGGGAAATGATTTAAGCAGGACCATGTGTGTGTGTGGATGTAGAATAATATGTCACTTAGAGCAGAGTAGCTGCTTCTTATTAGGACGACTGCAGGAGCCTGGAGGCCTCTGCGCGGCGTGGAAGGAGGCGGGATGTGATGCATTTGAGAAGTAGCAGGTTCAGGGTTACCTTCTTATGTGATCAAGCTGCAGCCTCGATTTCTTATTAACGGTTAACTGAGCACTTTGATGATGGACAGGTAAATCCAGCCAGTGTTGAAGGAGGCGGGGGTGAAGGGGGGTTGATGGTATCAGGTCTGTTTTGAAACCAGTTGAAAAGCCCCTCGGCTCTTTTCCGTTCTTTCTCTGGCCGAGGAATATTCCCCCCAAATTTGATTATCTGGTCGCTAATAAAGACCAGGTCAAGAGCTAACGGCTCTCTCAAACTGCAAATCTATTCTGCGGTCCACCAGAGGCGAGCGCACACAGACCTTTTCCTCTTTGTGTTATCTTTGTCGGCATATCTTTTTCTTTTTGGGGAGATAACTTATCTTGCGCCATGGCTTTTTGGAGCAGTGTCAAAAAGGAATTTAAGAATAAGTGGAGCTGTGGATGTGAGACAAATTGCTTAATTCTTCCTCTGCTGCTATCTCTGTTTGGGACCGGCCCGTTTGATTTTCCGCGGGGGATTTCCTCTCTGAGAGTGTGTCTTTGTCTACACATCACACACTTAAATTAAGTGACATTTTTAATATCTTATCAAACCTTGTTAGAAACCAAAAACAATAAGAAACATGTTTTTCTCATTTGAAAACGGACTGAAAAAATGTGAAGAATTCATTCAGACATCAAACGACTTTTTAAGATTTTCAAAGATTGGGTATCTAACAGGATCACGATGTAAAAGACTACATCTGGATACACAGCTGCTCTTTATGTGTGAAAGGCAAAGCTGTGAGCACAGACCCTCCTTCCTCTGATCACTGGAGCCGAATGCATCAATGCTAACACCGCGTCCTACCTGCGAACCTCCAGCTGGCGCTCTCACTGAGACCACTGAAGTGGAGCACTGAAGTTAGGCTGTCAATACTCTTCAATACCATGGCTTTTAAAACGATACAAGCAGCCATATCAGGTGCTTAGGACGTTTTGAAAACAGCATCGATATCATTACATTTTTAGAAGAACTGTATGAAGTTTAAAACATCTGGTATTGTGACGACCCAATGGCAGAGAGAGAGAGCATGAATACTGGTTGTTAAAAATGTTCGGTCTTCCACGAGTAAGGACTTCAAACTAACCCCATTCGGACTCCGGTTTCAAGCCGCGATATTTCTGCTTCACCTTCAATCTGAATGTTGCAGAAACATAATCAGGGGGACGAAGTGATCCCCCCTCTGCACCGTCTTCAGAGGTTGTAACAGAGGCGTTACAGAGCAGATGGCTACAGCTGGGGAGCACAGCGCTCTGTGTGTGTGTGTGTGTGTGTGTGTGTGTGTGCGTGTGTGCGTGTGTGCGTGTGTGTGTGTGTGTTTATGTGCTTCCTCAATGCAACGTGAATTCACCACCACAGGAAAGTTAAATAGCACCGACAGAAAGCGCGTCATATATCCAACCTTTCCATTCTCTCTTCTTTCCTCCATCAGGTGATGGGTCTGCTGAACCCCGGCGGCGTGCCACATCAGCCCCAAAGCGACTACGCGATATCCCCTCTGACTGGCGGACTCGAGCCGCCCGCTGGCATGGCGGCCAGCTGCAGCCAGCGCATGGATCACATCAAGGGCCTGGAGGGGCTCACCAGTGTTCCCTCCATGTCGGCTCTGCCCTCCCTGCCCAGCTCCCAGTCCTACTGCCCCCCCTCCTACAGCTCGCCAGGCTACACCGTCGACCACGTGGCGTCCTATCAGTACGGCCAGTACGGACAAAGTAAGGTCAATAAACTTCAGATTTCTTTTATTCTCATCCTTATAGGTCCAACCAAAGACCTGCATGAACAAACTCGGAAAGACCTCATTTTAGAGATGCAATCTACTTTTTTCCAGTTCCGATCTGACTCAGATAAATATGTTCAGACATCGATATTATTCATAATAATTCAGACTGTTGTGTGTGTAAGGCTTCACAAAGCTTCCGGAAACCCAGCAGTGCATTTCTTATTGTAAGAGCAAATTAAAAATTGAATAGAAATTCATAGAAATGAAAATGATTTCAGAGAAATGTATCTTTGTGCTCCACATACAAACAGGAAGCAGCAACAACTGTCAGGTTTTCAAATTAAATCTTATATCTTATTGTACTTTTGATCGTAACGAAGGAGCTGTTCCATCTCGTCTGAACGTCGTCATGGAGACGATTTGTGAACTCCTCTTACAGTTCAGTCTGAACGTCTTCAAAGTGAGACTGTGCAAGTCGAGAATGTTTAAAACGCATGGGGACAACGTCTGCTGAGCATCTCGTATTCTTTAATGTCCGTCTCGTAGCGTAGCATCACATGACAGCAGTGATGCATCACTCCTGCAACCGTAACCACGAGCAACCTTAAAGGCAAAGTGCATCATATCTAACAGCTATTCCTGCAAATGTGTGAAAAGTACAGAATATAAACATAAAAGAAGATAACCTTCAGTTAAAAAATAATATGAAAATAAAGATCTATAAAATAAATCTCATCTCATTACATTATTTTAAAAATATGAAATAGATTTAATAACCCAGAAGTGGATTTAAATTATTTATATTAAAGCCTTCCGTTATGTTAGTGGCTCTCCATCATGCTCAGATTCTTTACATGACGTTTTGAACAGCAGCTACAGCGAGCGGCCCGCCTGGTTCTGACCTTTCGCTTCTTTTCATTGAAAGAATTATGGTGAAAACATCTGAACCCAGTCAGCCGATACAGTCGATGATTAGCGGGTGTTCTGGTAGTCCAATGCTCTGACACACATAACTAGTAACCGTGCGTTCATGCTTTGATTCCATGGAAACAGCGGCTGTGCAACAGTTTTTTTCTGGCTCCAATCATGGCATCTCAAGTGTTGGGGTTAATTGTGCAGATCTGATTCCTTCTATGAAGCGATCAACCGAGCACTGATACTGAAATCTGCGGTTAGGTCCACTTCAGAGTCCGCTCCCATCAGGGTAACAGAGAGCCTGATGATCGCCCTCCTCCTCTGACTGTTAGCCCGCAGAGATGACCTACCTGAGTACCAGCGAGAGGCTCTTTTCACTTCACATTACCGTTACCTTAAGGGTTAAAATCAACTTCAAACAAATCTCCATTGAAACGTTTGGACGGCCGCGTCGTTTTCAGTCACAGCGTGATTACAGCGGCCGCCCGTTTCCAATTTTTTTTAGTCCACCGGGGGGTGGACCAATCAGGTTCATCCACTGACCTTGAGGCAACCTCGAGACAAGCCTTCAAAGAGTGCGCCAACAATCCAACGGGTCTGACTGCGGCAGGTATCAAATTAATATCGGCCTTAATATCCGAGAGACGCACATGTCTCATGAAATATCTCAGAGTGAACAGAGGGAAGGATTTTGGTGACACACGTGAAGAACCTCTCGCGTTTGTGTACACACACACACACACACACACACACACACAGCTGAAAAGACAACCGTCACGACACACACCTCCGCAACGCTGCAAACCCGAGCGGTCCATCTTGATGTGATTAATCAATGCGACTGGATAGCCGGTGTGCGGTTTGGTTTGGAGCTGCAGAGGAAAGGTCCTTTCTGGGGGTGGACGGACGCTAATAGCCTCTGGCAGGACGGCGATTAGAAACAGGTGCTCGCTCTGAGGTCAGCTGGGGAGGCAGTGCTGGATCGTGCTGCTCCAGGTTCCAGTGTAAAGAGACTGGGTACACTGCTGCACAGTTTGGTGACACGTAGCTAATGCTAGACTTCAGCAAGGAAACTAAATTGGTAATCCATGAAGTATTTGTTTGTTTTTATTTAGGTAATGTCTCTGTTGCTAAGCAGAGCTCACCCGTTAACCAGTATGCCCGACTCTACGTCTTTTTTTTTTGGATATTGAGGAGTTTCGTTCTTTTTTAGCCGTCGTCCCACTCACACTCACACCTCAAGTCTTCCAGAGACATAAACTAGGACTGTCAAACCACTACATTGACGTGATTAATAGTGTGTCTGAAATTCCATTATTTTGCATTTAAAATAAAAGCAGCTTGGTCTTCCAGAGACCCGGACATTTCTGAGGGCGGGGCCTGTTCATGTCGAGCTCTTCACTCTCTGACTGTGCCTTTCTGGGTCGCGGGCGTGAAGTATGATTCAGCATCTTCACTTAACAATAATGATGATTTGAAGCGCCCGCACTCTTCTGTTCTCACATCTCCCTCCTCTGACCTCACACCCCAAACCAATCGTGAGCGCATGCTACGCTAACAATAGCCAGATGTTAGCGAAATGGAAAGCTCAAACATATGCCGAAAATTTATTGCAGCCGTATATCTTTTTAAAAAAATCCCCTTTCACTGCTAATAATTTAACAGCCGTTTCTCCCTTCTTCTGCACAGGTGCCTTTCCTTATCTGAGACCTGAGATCACCTGATCCCGAGACTCCACGGGACGGCGACGGGGAGGGAAGACATTTGTGTGTACAGAGATGGAAAACCTTTATTATCAGGACCAAAAGTTTTGCTACCATTTACCAGGACATGTTCTCCCTGCAGTGTGTGTGTGTGTGTGTGTGTGTGTGGGGGGGACTATGTATTATTCATTCTATGTGGAACAAAAAGAAGGGACCAGAAGAGGGACTACCAGACCAAAAACTGTGTGTCTTTGAGCATCGCTGCATCAGTGCAGAAGATGAGGAGAGACGTCAGCTCTTAACGTGTGGCACAGTGGAGATCTGACCCCTCTACAGCGCCACCAAGAGGCATTTCTACCGGCTGTTCCAGTGACCAAACACCATCTGTGGACTCAAATCTATTGTCAGAGACTTCTAACCTTGTTGAAGGAGCCTGTTGACATGATGTAAGGGCTACATGAGCAAACCTCCAAATGAATCCCCAGATTGTGTCTGCAGAAAGGGGAGAAAGAAAAGGGGCTTGATGATTTGAGTTTGATTTGTTTGAGCAGAACACCTGAGCAGAAAATGTCTGCATGTTTTATTGTGTCCAAACCTGTAATGTACACCCCCGGCTGTACTGCAGAGAAAGTTCATTCAAACACTCCTCTCCCTCCCCCCCGCTGTCTCTCTCTCCTCTCGCCTTTCTGTCTCACTCCATGTCTCATTGATGTTCAGGACGGTGAAGCAGGGATCCCGCCCTTTTGTAGTTTTTAAAGAGGAGGTCAGAGGGCGACTTCAGGGGAAAGTGACAGATGAGAGAGCAGAAGAGAAGGGGCGGCAGAGAAGTGGCTTTACAGGGAAGGGGGGAAGAGGGGGATGGGTTGGGATAGGCAAGATCGATCACAGGGTTAAAGAACCCTTTAAAGATCCTCTCCCGGAGAGAAAAAGCCACCGGGTCACAAGTCACGGCAGCGAGACACTTGAGAAACAGAGAGACTCCGAGACTTAAGAAGACAGACTTTCTCCCAGCTGACCAGAAGTGCAATATCACATATCTCAGAGTCTCCACTAAAACAATAAAAAAAAAAAACGAGACGTGCCTCTTAAAGTCTTACGAAACACTCTGGATCCTTCCTCTGGATCTTGTTTGAAGCTTTGCAAAGGAGCAACACATGTGCCTTTGAAGGGTCCAAAACAAGTGCCAAACGTTCCCATCCATGTTGCTGTAACGGGACACTGAGGGGAGCGCACTCTTGAGGACTCGAGTCCCGAGGAAAAGAGTTAATCAAGGGAACGCCAATGTAAACAGGAAGCAGGAATAACAAAGCCAAAACTGTATTTTTATTTTTTTATGTTGCTTGGGACCATTTTAGGAAGTTTAGATTTGACACATTCCCGACATATTTATTGTCACGATGTTCTGAACTATGTTACATTTCTCTTCCATGTACAGGTGACAATACTTTAACCGCCCTGTACGGCCATCCGTCTGTCAGACTGCTCAAAGTGCTGTCGCTCAGCTCAGCCGCCATCACATCTTTGTACAATATGAATTCGCATTGCATTTCGACATTGCAGAAGCGGAAGCTCCACATACACACACAGTCAGACATGCACGCACACACGGCGCTGTGCTCCCCCGCCGTCTCTGCTGAAACTGCCACGCCTCTGGATCTACCTTCAAGGACGGTACAGAGGGGAGATCACTTCGGCCCCCCCCCTAATGCCCCCCTTTTTTCTCAGAAGTGCCGTCACTCAGCTCGGCCGCCATAATGTCTTTGAAAAGTTTATATCGATTCTGTGATGGCGTTATATTGGTGTTACAGTCGGCGTTGAAGAAGGACGGCACAGCGGGAGCTCCACAGAAAAAGCAGTCCTTTCATTCCTTTGACATATATTTTTTTTGTATTATCGGACAAAGCGATATCACATAACATCATGTGTACAAGCGCATTATCTTTACTATTTATAATGAAATAAAAACTCTGAAAATAACTGCTGTGTACATTGATGAATTTCAGTTAAAGGAGTCTTTGTGTTTATTTTTGACACGACATGGGAATAAAAAAAAAAAGAAAGAAAGAAAGAAAGCGAGTGACTGTGATTCACTCCAGAGGAGAATGAAACTCGGAAGACTAATGTGTGTTTTTGAAGACACTCACGTGAACCCAACAGCCAAAATAGGCCGGACTGAAAGGGGATCACCAGACATCGTCCGACGCTGAACACAAACGGGCTTTCTCACGGCTGGTTGTAAACGCTCATACATCTGCAAGGGTGAGTATTAATACCCCCGCTACTGCAACAAACTGACTTTTGTTTAACAACATCTCCAATGAAGAGAACAAGCCTCGAAGCCATTTGGACAAACAGCCCCTCGAAAAACCCCTCTGAAACTCATCCACCCTGCTGACACATTATGTGCATGCTCACATATAGTGTTGTTTCTGTGTGTGTGTGTGTGTGTGTGTGTGTGTGTGTTCGTGAAGCCTGAGGGTATTAAGCTTAATTATAACATTCTTCTGATTAATCGTGTCTGCTCGCAGACCTCGGAGCGCCGTCGCTGCATGTGTGCAGCTCGTGCGGCGGGACCACACACTCTATAAATAAAGTCTAAGTCAATAACAACGCCAAGGATCACTCATAGTCTTGTCAGCTCTGTTTGCTAAGCCTGAATAATTCAACCAAAGAGAGGATACCAGGACACACCAACACTGGAGCGGTAGAGGCAGTGGCGCTCTAATCACCTGCGCGCACACACACACACACGCGCGCGCACACACACACACACACACACACACACACACATACACACTATTTGCTTTCTTAATCAGTCCGTTCCATTAACGATGAAGACAAATCACACCTGCAGAATTCCAAAGCGGGAGCATTACTTTTTATTAATGACCCCTGCCCTGAAAAGCCGGTTCTTTCTTCAATGCACCCAAGAGTGTCGTTAAATGGAACATTTTTAACAGCGTTTCATACCGCCAGATAATGACAGATTTTGGGATCGCGCGGCTACGCCTGGCAGCAGAACCGCCAACAGGTTCTCCTGCTCCGCACACAAAGAAACATTCAAATTAATCCAAATAAAATAAGCACAGTTTTGTCCTTCATTCGTTCAATTTTTTTTTTTTTTTTTTTTACTAATTAGGTAAAACTTTCCAAAAATCCTTTAAATACGAAACAACAGCCATCGTTCATGCCTCCTCGTTAGCCTTAGAAACTCATTAAAGAGATTCAAATTGAAACGTAAGGTGACCCAAAACCTCTGCTGAAAACCAAAATATCATAATGAACACGTTATTTAAGAGAACATGTAAAAACAAATGTTTCAATCTGAGCACACTGACTTTGTTATTATGCAAAGTCCATTAACAAAAAAAAGAAAGAAGGAAACTATGGAGGGACACACACACACACACACACACACACACACACACACACACACACACACACACACACACACACACACACAGGGACCATGTGATCCAGTAACTCACATCTTGCCCCCTCAGTTAAAGAATTTGTTTTTCTCCTCAGTGTTGTGATCTAACACGACCCCCAGAACATGCCGGCAGCTGCTTCTGTCATTCCCACCATGTTGGATCTGTGTGTGTCTGTATGTGTGTGTGCCTGTGCCTCCATCATGTGTGATGGTGCCCTTTGTTTGAGTGCACACAGTAAAAGCTTGTTGGCCTCCAGACTTGGAGGTTAATACAGACGGTCATCAGTCAGAGTCTGAAGATGTGAGTGTTTGTGTGTTGACCCAGCGCCCCTTAAGACTGTCACCTGTAAATAAATAAGTTAACATTTCTGAGGAAAAACTCTTGCATGCTGTCAAACTTGCGTTTTAGGAGGTTAGACATCATGCACGAGTTTCCCTCCAATCTACTAAGAACTTTAAATTGGGACCTTGCAAAAATCTTTGTTTTTGAGTCCCTGAAGAATCGAGCTAAGAAGATTTTACAACGACATATGAGTGGGAATGGAACGGGTAAAATGTTATAAATTCGCAAACATCACGCCCCTGCAGAAGTCCGTGCCCCAGGTGGGCCGCCCCAGGTGGGCCACCCCAGGCTGGACACGCCCCCTTGTCAGATCTACTACAGTGATGTTTGTTTTTGTGCTCATCTGGAAGGGAAATACGATGTATGATATGTTATATGATACGATATGTTTCACCAACCCAGATAAACAATGATCTCGTGTTTTAATAAATCTCTTCACATTTGGCCTGAACACTAGTGTTGTACTCGAATACGGTCTTGGTCTCGAGACGACTTTTTGAAGGTCTCAGTCTCGTCTCAGAATCGAAAGCATTTTTACTTGGTCTCAGACTGGGCGACCACCACTGATCTGATCTGGTCTTGGTCTTGTCTAGGTCTCGATCCCTAAATGTTTCGGTCTTGTCTCGGTCTCAAAGCCCTCTGGTCTCAGGTATGTCTTGGTCTCGGTGAGTCTGGTCTCGACTACAACACGAGTGAACACACCTTAAGGATTTCAGGAGAGAGATTATTTCAGGTACGCTCCCCCTAAAGGAACAGATTTTTAAACATCAACATGTTTATTAGATTAGATAATTCTTTATTTACAGACGTCACCCTTTCAAACAGTCCAGCTATATCGAGGTAAAACCAGGTGGGGGGACTTTGTTGTTTTTTTTTGGGGGGGGGGGGGGGTAAGGTGGGGTGTCTCCTTTATACCCCAGCATGCCATACAACCCCTGTACACACACTTAACCCCTGACACTCCCCAGTGTTCACACACTCTGTCATCGCAGGTTCCCTCTGCTGCTGACCTGAGCACCGACACATGCTGGGGATAACTTAACCTCTGCACCTCCAGACGGAAAAACACGTCGGCAGAGAGAGGGAGGGAGGACAGAGGAGGGGGGGAGGAAAGAGGAGGAGGTGGTACAGGGACAGACATAGGGATGAGGGATCAGAGCCTGACTGACAGAAACAGCCAACACATGCTACACAACTATGACTTGACTCCAGTGTTGATTGAACCCGATCTTTAGATCTTTTTTATGTACTGAATGTCTTGTTATATTTTTGCTCTGGACCTGCGAGGTTGATCCTTTGACTCTGACGCTCATAACATCTTTACAGGAGCTACGAGGAAACGGAAAAGAAACCCAGGAGGTCGAGTCAGAAGAAACAACATCGTTTTACTCGGGTGACACATTGGAAAAAGAGGAGGAGTTCAAAAGGTTTTCATCCAACAAGAACGAAGTGATGAGTGTGTGTTACAACTTTGGGGTTTGGGTTGTAAAATGTACGACTCTGTTCACTTTCTGTCAATGGGAGGATTCCTCGTTCTCTCCAATAAATTTGATAATAACCCTTTGCTGCGGCAGTTTCTGTGTAATCATTAAAGCCAAGAGGTGCTACAACTTTCCCTTCACCTGAGCAACAGTCAGTATGTCTACCTGCACGGTTTAGTCAAGCTACAGTTTGAACATGATAAGGCCATTTAACTGGACTACTTTCTATTTCCCATCACACATGCATTGGTTTAGTATCTCGACTCCACTACAGTGGGTGGGTAACAATGGAGCTGAGCTAAAATATCATCAGAAAAAGGAGGAGAGCAGAGGATCATAGTGTTGTTTTGTGTCCGTGGAGGTGATCTATGTGAACTGCAGCTTGCATGTGTTTCTCTGTAAAGGCAGAAAGACAACGGACTGACAGTGACGCAGATCAAAGGAATAAAGTCAGACAGGAATGTCTTGGAAATGACAGCGAAACAAGAGGGAAGTGACAGCTCCAGCTTCAGCAGGAGAGCAGTTCAGTTCTGCAGCAACGCTTCAGAGACCTGCTGACAGAATCAGAGTCTGTCTGCGATGTGGGACATGAAACTGTTCAGGGTTAAACTTCAGGTGACTTTAGGGCCTCCTGGCTGCAGCAATACATTTAACCTGGAGTTGAAATGTAAATAGTCTGATACTAAAACATGCTTCCAACAATTCTCTGTGAGCAGTTGATGTTATTGAGCACAAACAGGATAAGAAAGTTTAAAGGACTCCTCATTTGAAGCACTTTCTTCATGGTTTTCCACAAATAATAACTTTTTAAGCCCTTTCTTATCTGCCTGGAAATAACATTTTCTTGGTCTCAGGAAATGATGCTTTTATTGTCAGGCTTTGCTCGTATCTTTTGACCAGTGACCGAGGACAGTAAGAGAAACTTTAACTGGTTCAGAGAAATAATAAAAGACCTGCGGGCTAGCTCGCTGTGAGGAACAGGAATAGTTCAACAATTTGAGGAATACATTTATTCTCTGTCTTTAAAATGTTTAATGAGACCTTTAATGCCACTTTAAAGTTTTTACGATTAATGTGTTGTCCTGTCAAAGAAGGGTTGCCAAGCTATGCTGGTTAAATTAGCTCAGCCGGTTAGCTTAGCTCACCGGAAACACTCGGAAAATTCTGTAGGTGCCAGGAAACTTATTTTATAAAGCCAGGCTTCTAGTTTAGGAGAGGCTGGCTGTGATTCCATAAGCTGCTGGTGTCAATCTTCTTCTGTTTTTATCCCCAAAAAGTAAAAAACTGATGTAGAATCATTGCTTTAGGGATGAAGTAATCATAAGAGCACTCCTGCATGGTTACCACTGACTGCATATAAAGATGGACAACATGTTGCACCCTCATCGTTGTTGAAAAGTGAAGCCAAAATATTGCCAACATCTTATGCATGCAAGTGTTTGTTATCTTTTATTTTAGCTATTCCTATGTCACTTGAGCAGCAACCTCAGCTGGTCCACTTGAGGCCGACTGCAAAAAGCAAAGGAAGTCCCATTTACACCCAAACTTTATGAACAGTTGATAAACTGTATGAGTCACGTGTTGTACTGACGCCTGCATTCTCTAAATGAGTCTCCCTTGCATGGATCAAATTTAAAAGGAGCAACCTGTAAGATATGTAGTGAATGAAATAATGAAATGACCTTACCATATCATCAGACAGAAGAAGGTAGGCAGTTTT